TCACTTGCACCCTCATCAACACAACACAGAAGGGAACACATTTACTGTTTCATCCTTATTCTTCCCGGCACGCCGAGGAGCTGTATACAGTACACACCAGATCAAAGCCTTAATTGAAAAATAATTATAGGTACTTAATCATAGAAAGCACTGGGCTAATTGAAGTGAAAACAAGGAGGCAAACGCAGACCCTCAGAATCGTGGCAGAAAGAGGATATTGTAAAAGCTTCTTCTTCAATCCCCATTGTTTTACAGATTAAATAGGAGAGGGCTATTAGCAGAGTTAATTGGCTCTCTAATTTAGATCTCGCCCCACTGAAAGCATAACGGATGCGCGCCTGTCCACCAATGATGTGTGCACTCTGTCACACTGTCCTGCTGGACTGTGATTGGTTAATTGCTCAGGGAATTTTGAAGTTTTCTCTCATTCTTCAAATGTAACACATTTGTGGGGGGGTTGTTCTCCTCCCTGGCTGCCCAGGTAGCGCTCATTGTTTGAGGCTAGTGAGAGTTGGAGCTCATGTGACTCATTTAGCACAGCTTGGACAGCCTTGATGCTCACATTAAACCTGTTTTATGCTATAACAGTGTTATTTCTTCGTGGTTTCTGCACCCTTATGGACAGGAGGACACATGCAGTGAGACCCTGCCCTCCTGCTGACCTGCTCACACTTTGTAGAAGTTCCTGATGCCCTCAGAGAAATAACACACATTCACTCCAGCCCATGCTACGTGAAAGGACTTCTTATCACTCCTCCAGCCAGGCTGCTCCCCGCTGAGACCCCCGGCCTGTTCCCTGCGCTCGCTCTGCCCTCTAGTGTCCGCCAGGCAGCAGTGCACTGATTACTGAATCAAAGTCCATTTAGACACCCAAAAGGTGGAAGAAAGTAAATGGGCAATTTTTCGACAATTTTTGCCAAAGACAGCCTTTGATCATCTCAGCTCCTCTCTCTCTAGTGTTTTCTTATTGTAGCCTGCAGAGCTAATGGAGCTCTTGACTGGAGTTCAAAATATAAGAAGGTGTGGAATTCTGATCTTCAAGGTCTGTCAACCAACATTTTTTTTTTCTTACAAAGTGAAAAGAATGACAGCTGTAACCCTATCGCGTGATCACCTGACTTTTCTTCTCGGGCCAACATCAGGGTAACGTGATTTTAATTTTAAAAAGTCTTAACAAATGGATTTCTATTAATATTCTCTAAATGTTTGTGCTTTCCTCAAGATGAATTGTAATCATTCGACTTGTAGCTAGCTTCACAGAGTCACTAGTATGGGCATAGACTCTAACTCTTGCTACTGTAAAGTAAACAGATTGATGAAATAAAACCCATGAAAGGGGCTGGTTGTAAGGACAAACCCACACATAATTATTCAACAAATTGCCAAAAGATTGCCGTTTATAGCTTCTCAGTCGACAGGAAACAAGCTAGCAGCTAACCCCCCATCACTCATTTGACCCTCGCATGCAGGCTTTTAATAGTTGGTGGAGACCAAAACATAGTTAAAAGGACAGTGTATGTTAGACTCACGTTCATCAAGTGGACACAACTCCAAATGGTGTGCTCTACATTTAAATAGACAACTACAAACACATTAACAATATCATTTTGAAAATGTCACCGTTGTCTTACTGTATCATTATGTATCAGCTTGTTAGAACTACAATGTATATAGAGTAGATATATAGAGTCTACTCTATATACATTATAGAATAAAATATAAAAATCTAAGACACAATAATCATGTTTTTTTTTATGGCTGCACCAGTCTATCAAAGGAAATATTTTAAAGTCTTGCACTTCATTTCATAAAAAAAGTTTGACAATTCCCCCTCAATTTAGCAGGACTTTTTTCTGGAGCTTTGAAAACATTTGATTCGCAAAAAAGAAATCTGTGGGTAAAAGCAACATTTGGGTGCAGAGCATTGGTGATTGGCCGGCCCACTTGCATGCTGGCTCTGATTAAGGGGCATCACACAGCACATCATTGACCTAGAGCTTCTTCCAGTAAGGTGGCATTTGATACAAGGAAGGAACAACACGGATAATTCATATGATCGAAGCTACACGGCGAACATGTGTGAAGTGGCTTCTCTTTTCATGTATATTAGTAAGGGCAGATCAGGATAAGCACACAGAGGCTGGAAAGTTGTTTGCTTAAGGTTCAGCCTGCTGGGGGACAAATGGCTTTTCACAGCAGACAGCAAAAATCATTAGCGCAGCAGCATGCAGTTATTTCTATTGACAGTGATTCAATCAGGTCGTCTGTGTGAGTGTGTGGGAGAGAGAAAGAGTAGTATAAACTTCACTTGAACTGTGTTCACAACACCTTCATGAGTGAAGGTTTTTTTAACCTTATTTAACACTTGATTTAGTTTAGGTTGATTTTCCTCCAAGCAGAATGATTAATTTTGTTTTTATTTCCTTCCCTATATACATTATTATGTCGATATCCCTGTGTAATATATGGATGTTTAAAAAAAACATGTTTAAATAAAAAAAGCATAGGCCAGCTAAAATACACCTATATGTTGTATAAGATAATAAGTAACACTGATTATTCCCTCTTTATAACTTTAGTTTTACCCTTTTAAGGCCAAAGCATTTCTTAAAATAAATACACTTTGGTTACTTGTAAATGTATATATTTATAGTATTTCCCATGATATAATTTCTAGTTATTATCGATAAATACTTGATATTTGATATATTATGTAATGAGTTAAAAAGTCAATCATTTGTGTCTGGCAATACTTATTTTATTCCAAGCAGTCAGCAATATTCTCTAACTTCAGTTATTACCATGAAAAAAGTCAATTATAATCAACAATCACATATTACATTGTACTTTTGTGTTACTGTCCATGTTTCAAAAACAAGGGAACTAAACAAACTGAGATAATAAATCCTAACCTATAACACAACTTTTATATTCGTCCTGAGACACCTGACATGACCTCAAGTGACCTATGTTTATTAGTTGTGTAAATACAATAATGATACATTTTATTCTGAATAAAGCCCCAACCCAGTTTCGATTCAGCCCTGGTCTCAATTTCTCCTCTGCATATCAGCCACAGGCTAATTAGTTTCAGTTCACTACAATCATATCAGTATTTACTTTAGCCTGACTGGCTGCTGGTGCCACACGATACACAGCACTCCCCTCGACAAAAGGGACGTCCAGTATCACACAACACAGCCCGTCCCAGACACACTGCCCAACAATATTCAAACTGTACATTTGGTAAAAGCTACATATAATAACAGTAAACTAACTTTGAAGTCCTCAGTATTCAAAAGACACTTTAATAACCACTTTAAATAATGTTGAATGTATCAAGATCTACAGAGGTATGAACAAACCACTGAGGCAATACTATGATACATTTTGTGTGGTTCCAAGTCCATATCAATGCCTTATTTCAGGTTGTTTCCAACATCGTCTAATCCTGTATCAAAACTGTGTAATGCTCAGTGTTACCCTGGGATTTTGCAAAGTAGACAGCAAAAAACGAATTTAAATAAGAGAGAATGTTTCTCTTGCCTGTTATTGCCACATGGCAGCCCATCACATTCAGGTTTCCCATCATGAGGACATGACTCAGCCCAGGAGCTGTAAACAGGATGCTGGCTGTGCTCCACATCTTTGTCAACCATTAAAATAGAAGACTTAAATCTTAATGTCAAGAAAATGAAACATGAATAGCAGCTAAAGTTAGGAAGTTAGTTAGTATTGTTTCTCTCAAACATAAATATCTATGACTAAATAATTATCAATCAGAGACATAGTTATTTATAATTGAATTATCATAGGAATTTAGGTATATTTTTACATTTTGGGAAATGTGTTGAGGTCATGTCTGAGAGATATGTCCCATTACTATCGGGCTACAGCTAGCAGGTGGTTAGCTTAGCATAGCATGCCAGACAACCAACACGCTGGTCACAATCAAGAAATAATTGCGTACGCTCCCCGCCAATAAAATGTGATGGCTGTTTGTAAACTTAATTTTTTTTTGCAGCCCAAACCGTTGAGATGCTAGAGGAAGTTTGTTTTTACAGTTCATTTATACAGAACCAAGCCAGCTATTTTTGCTTTTCAGTGGTGATGCTACGTTAAGCTAACCGGGTGTAGCTTTACATTTATAAGCCTACAGCAGACGTATATGAGAGTAATAACTCTGTCTAGAGCCATTTGGAGTTTGATTTGTCTGTTGTAGAAACATGGCGGTTCAACATAGTAGACTTGGGATATGAAGGGCTCATTTTAAACTGATTATACACTCATGAAAACATAGATATTTATAGTTCCCTCAAAACGTTTTATTGCTTCTTCCCACTGTGTGGGAGTGGTTTGATCAGATTTGTTTGGCAAGAAAAAATTAAACCATATGAGCATGATCACATTTGGATTCAATTGCTGAATTCTGATTGGTGCAAAGAAATGGGTGACACCTACATTTCCCTATTGATTTAAAACAATGACAACAACTATTTCACTAAAACTCAAGTTACTTTGAAAGAAAATGGTGTGTTCATGTAGAACCCCACCGTTCATAGTGAGAAGCTAAAACAAAGTTTTCAGGACTGTTGAACTTGATGTCTTGAATTCAAAACAGCTTTACCCAACAACAATGGGACAGGTTAATATAAATCTGCCGACAGTACACACCAGCAGCAGCACTCATTAAATCTGAAGCGAGTAACTGAATTTGAGGTTTTTCTCCAACACTATTTTCATTAAAAAACATTAAAGTGACTGAATACCAAACCACATCATGTTCACTCTATACCAACCAAATTAAGGAGCCAACAGTAATCATATTTCACTAATACGCTCCACCCAACTCCTTCTGTTCATGACTGGGCTGTGTGCAAACAAGCAGGGTCATTGGTGAAGTCCTTCTTGACTTCACACCTGCAGATATCATATTCCAACTCACAGCCGCAGTGCTGAGGACAGACAAAGCTTTAGAATTTGGAGTTTTACATTTTCCCTCCACCAGCAGAAGAACCATGGCAGCGACTCTCTGTCAGGTGATGGGCTTCCTCCTGAGTCTGTTAGGTTTGGGGGGGATGATCGCAGCGACAGGGATGGACCAGTGGGCGACCGAGGATCTCTACGACAACGTGGTGACAGCCATCTTCTCCTACTCGGGCCTGTGGAATTCCTGCGTCCGGCAGAGCTCCGGCTTCACTGAGTGCCGGCCGTATTTCACCATTCTGGGACTGCCAGGTACACTTTTATTTTGTCAAAAGCAACACAAATGATGAAGGAGAGTACTTCATTAAGTCACCAAAAAAATAACGGTTGATGGTTTTTGATAATGCCAAAATGTAACTATAGTCACACCTACAGATTACAAAACAAACAGGTCACTGTGGCTGTGTTTGATCTTTACACACTTACAGAACTGCATTCTATTAGTATATTTGATACGAATTATGGGGAAGAGAATCTGTTGCATTGACAAGTTGTAATTGGTAAAAAATGTAATGTAAATGAAAGGAATGGTATATTGAACTACGCCAAGATCCTTTCCATGAGCAGTGTGGGATTAGGTCAAAGTAGCTAAACTACATCATACAAATACTTTGATGCAAGTAAAAGTCCTGCATTCACAAATGTTCTAAAAGAACAAAAAGTATTGAAATCAAAATGTAAAATAAGATAAGATAACATAAGATGGACCTTTATTAATCCCCGTGTGGAAATTCAGGAGTTTAAGCATCAACAGAGTAAGAGCGAAAGTACAGTACAGATTCACACAAGAGTAATACAATTAAAGATAACAAATTAAATGATATACAGGTAAGTAGCTGTTAAAACAAGAAATAAATTAAATGAACATATATACATATCTGAGTCAAAAATGACTTGTTCATAAATGTATACATATTTTGGCAGATGTAACATTATCAGTTTATTTTTCCCTTAACATGATGGGGAAATACTAACGAAAGGTCAAACCACACCCTTTGTTTACGAAGGGGAGGACATTCTCGTTGCTACTGTTACCGAAACTGGGACAAAGACTGAAAACTGGGTAAACATCTGATAAGAACGGTTCCTTGTTGAATCATATATAAAGATAAGCAGCCGCTCAGGCGCTGCCATTTCATGACTCTGTGACATCGCTGGCTACTTGTTTGAGCGGGACATCTAAAATGGCGGTCTCGATGATTCAGTTAATAGGATTCATGTTGTCTGGGCTGGGGCAGTTCTTAATATCAGCTGCAACAGTACTGGACATGTGGAGCCTGCAGGATCGATCTTTTGCAGTTGTGACCAACATTTACACATACTCTGGTTTGTGGAACTTGTGTGTGGGGACGTCGTACGGTACAACGCAGTGCAGGCCTTATTTTACCATACTAGGACTGCCAGGTAAGAGAATTACACCCAGAGAGAAAAATACATTTATCAAACATTGCTCCACATGTTGGATTAAGGAGGACATTTTCAAAGGACCCTGGGAAGGTACTTTGGAATATTCTGCAGGTTTTAGGGCAGATTTTCCACGTTTCCCTGCTGCATGAAAATGCAGCGGACTGCAGAAAAGATGGTGTCTCTACGGAATCAAATGGAAATTTGATGAGACATCCAAAGCTTAGCTGAGCAAGCACAAGCTTTAGAGGAGTGTCACACAATGTAAAGTACATTTCCACACTCTGTGCTTAACAGCTGAATGTAGTGTAGAGCATATTGTACATAAGGTCTTAAAGGCTTAAGGCTGGAATAATACAGGTACAATATCTTCAGGGGATTGAAAGATGGCATTTTGGGTCAAATCGTTTTAATACATGGTGTCTTGATTTATAGAGTTTTAATTTGAATATTGCTACGCCTGGGAAAAAACAACAGCATTTTATTTGTATTCTTTTTTACTTTTTTCAAAACATGCCATGCGTTTTGAGTGTCTTTTAAAGTTTTGATATACTTATGCATCAAGAAAATATTTATTTATTATATATTGTCAGTGCTTAAAAAGGATGAAAAGTGTTCTATATATTGTTTAAATGTTTATCGATATTGATACACTAATGTATAAGAAGCATTTTGTGTTGAAGCTGGTCAATATTTAGCTATTTTAACTCTATATCCTGTTGGGAATCTTTTTGGGGTAAAATGCATCTTTATTTATTTATTTATTGATCCTATGCTTTTGCATGAAACATCTTAACCTGCAAACTAATTATAACTGCCAAATAGATTTAATGAAGTAAACATATTTTCCTCTGAAATAAAGAAGAGCGGAAGTAGATCCATATTAAGGAACTACAGCTCTCCATTGACCGCTTGCATATTTATTTTATGAGTAAATACTGTGTTGAGATTGTTCTGAGTGGTATCTTCTGGCTCCAGCTCTGCTCCAGGCCGTGCGGGCTCTGATGATTGTTGGAATCATTCTTGGAGCCATCGGTGTCCTCATCGCCATATTTGCCCTGAAGTGCTTGAAGATTGGGAACATGGAGGACAGCATCAAGGCCACGATGACTCTGACGTCTGGGGTCATGATCATTCTGGCAGGTGCAGTGATGTTCACAACGTGTAGTTCTGTTATCACAGCAGAACTGTTCTGCACTCACCCATCGTTTGCTCTTCATTTTCAGGAGTGTGTGGCATTGCTGGGGTGTCTGCCTTCGCTAACTTGGTTGTGCAAAGCTTCCGGTTCACCACATATGCCGATGGCGGCTATGGTGGCGGTGGCGGCTATGGTGGCGGTGGCGGGGGGGGGGGTCTTGGTGGACTCTCAGGAAATCTGACTCCGAGGTAAGCACAAATTAAAACGCTTTTTTATCTGCTACAACACTGTTCAACTTCATGGATAGGATTCTAACTAGCATGCCACTTTTTTGTTGCATAAATTGGGTGACGTTCGTAAGTAAGGTAGTTATCGTGAAGCGCCACATACGGACACTGTGTTGCAGTTTTAAAGATGTGGTTTACATTGTGAATTCAAACATGTCTAATTAGCTAAGCTACGGGAAATATCATGGTCTAGGTTCAATTAACCTGTTTGTCTTGCAACTTAACTTAAGTACTTAATATTGTTGCACCGTGAAATTACTTACAAAAAAGCCAAACAAATCTAAGTGATAACCATTGGTGGACACTGATATTATTTATTCAAATGCTGTACTAAAATACCATTTTAATGTATGAGTATTTTCCAATTCTGCTACTCTATACTTCTACTCCACTACAAGTCAGAGACAGGTATACTTTATTTAAATAATATCTATTTATTAACTTTGGTTACTTTAAAGGTCACCTATTATGCAAAATCCACTTTTTCATGTATTTTATACATAAACATGTGTCCCCTCTGTGTAAAGACATTCTGAAAGTCTCAGGAACAAAGACCCCCTCTCTTTTTGTCCTGATCCATTTATATAAAAACCAGATTTTGGTGACTTTGTGATGGCATGTTTTTTTGGCTTGTGTAACCATTAGCCAATCACCAACCAAGGTAACCCCCCCCCCCCCACACACACACACACACACACCTTATCCTCCTAGAGCACCATTGTGTTCTTTTTAACCAAATCTCTCTCATGCCCCTTTCACACCAACACGTTTTCAGCGCCGGCTCGTAGCTGGAGCCTGAAAAGTACCGGTTTTTCCTGTTCACACCGCAGCGGGGCCGCCTCTTAGCTCCGGAATCCGGTTCACTTCCAGCTCCAAAAAATTGTCGGTCTAGAAGCAACAGCTTCGGAGCTAAGAGGCGGCGTTGCTTACGTCTCTCTTACGTCGAGGCGAGCAGGAAACTAAACCCACCTCCCCTGAACATGGGTCGACTGAAGAGTCTCGTCATGCCTGCCAATAAGCAGTAGCGCTGAGCGAAGTGACTAGAAGGCAACCACACACTTATAAAAAAAAACACACTTTATAAAGTCAGGCAACACTAACCAGGCTTCGTGTGATTCTGTTTATTTGTACCTTACTTTGACCATCCGTTCGCTGTTATTGATCATTGTGGAGAGCAGGCAGACGTTTTGTTTTTTATTATAGCAGCTATCGGATGGAATCAATACATGGGCTGCACAGGTTGTCATGTCCGACATTCACAAGTAGAATCATAATGAAAAATACGCCGGTAAAATGTGCCTGTAGAAAACGGCTTAGCAAGTAGTCAGTTTAGCTTCGGTTGCTATGCTAACATCACCCATGTTATACCAGAGAAACTTTCATAACAGCGTTGTGATGCCAAACAGCGTCAATTCAGACTGACACACATTCACTTAAGGGGAACTGGGGATATGTATCAGCTGCTTGTGTGACAGTCAGACAGTGAATACTTTAGAGCCGTGTGAGCTAACCCGGAGCTAACGGGAGAATAAACTCCCGTGGAAGAGCAGCCAGCACTGCAGCGGTCGGTAAATGCCGCTGAAACACATTAATAAACAATGAACCACGGCACTCTGGAGAAAAGTATAAGGTTGGAGAAGTCGTTATGTAATTTAATCTGGCTTCGTATGATTAAAAGCAACACGATCATCGACCCGACGCAGTCCCCCGTTGTTGTTGTAGTTGGCGCCGTTGGGGAGCAAATCAGCGATGTAAACGGTGACGTCATGACGCAGCAGCGGCAGCACCATCCCGGCTCTGAGTGGTGTGAACAGAGCGGGAGCTGAAAAGGGAAACCGGAGCTGAATCAGAAAAGCTCTAGCTCGGAGCTAGAAAGGGAAAAACGCTGGTGTGAAAGCCGCATCAGAGGGGCGTGGGGAGTGGCTCCTTATTTTCATCTAAAGTAACAGACAGAGAATCAGCACTTCTGAAACAGGGCTGAAACAGAGGGGATTATGGGATGCTGCAATGATCTGTTTGGTGTTTCAGCCAAACACTTCAGAGACATGTTTTGTATATATCTGAGAACTTTAAAATATTGATGAAAAGGAGAATAATAGGGGACCTTTAAATAGTCCGTTTAATATTATAAAAAAACAATCTGAAATGGGCGGTCATGCAGATTAACTACTTTTTGTATTTAATGTACATTCTAAGTGCAGGTCTTGTTGTAACACAGTTTTTCTACACTCTGGATGACTAAATTGCAGTAAATTTACTTTGTCCACCTGGCGGCGAAACTGGCAAATTGACTTCTGGAATTAGTGTGTTATTTTTATGGCATTTGGTGAAACCAGGCTGCTTTGTCAGGTTTTACTAACCATGTCTTCTTCAGGTACACTTTTGGCCCCGCTCTGTTCGTGGGCTGGATCGGGGGGGCTGTCCTCTTCATCGGGGGCATCATGCTGTGTCTGGCCTGCCGTGGAATGACTTCAGAGACGACCCAGCGGTACGTTCCGTCATCTCTGACCTTTTCTGATGATTAACACCACCAGTGGGGGAAACTTTGTCAGAAGTTCTGTGCTCTGGACGGGGTAGGGTGCTCCTACAGAAGTGTCCAGTAAGCAGAACTAGCGCAAATTGAATGTTCACTGCTGTTAAAGGAAGCCCTGGCTCCTGACAAAGCTGAACAACAATGTGAAGCACCCCTGGATAAGTTCTGTTGTGCTGTGGGGCAGTACAAACATCTTAGTTCCTTTCAAAGTTAAGGACACTCAGCAAAATGTAAATGCACTAATTTGGTGTGTGTATTTTTTCTCTGCATATTTAATGCAGAGTTGCAAGTGTTTACGAGGCCACTTCCAAAACAATACACGTCAATACATTCTTCTCCTGGTCACACTTTCCCTTGTCAAAAGGTTTTTAATCCTATTTATTTCAATTTTAATATCTATACGTGGGATAGAGACTGATGGGGACGGGTTAGATGATGTCAGAATTCACTGCAGCAGCTCCACTTCCTGTTTGTCTTTATTTAAAGTTGCTTGTTTTTCTGATATTCTTCAGGTATGATGGGATGGCCTACAAAGCGCCCTCTCACCCCACGATCTACAGGTCTGACACCAGACCCTCGTACAAGGCTCCCAGCGTGGACGGGAGGTCCAACCAGAGATTTGACTACGTGTAAACTCATTCTCTCTCATAGATATACCTCTCTGTAACACTCTGCTGCTCTGTCATGCTGTTTCTGTTTTGTGTTTTTCTCTACTTTAATCTGGCTGAACATTTAAGATGTGTTTTTTATTGTGTTTTTTTTAACAGTGTCTTAAAAATCTAATACTGGTTTGGGGTTTGTATTTGGATATTTTTGTCAAATAAAAAATGAATCTGATTCTTTATTTGTGTAATAAAAAATGCTCCACCATATCATGTTACACAAAATATTAAAAGATGATAAGAAAATAAATAAATAAAAACATATATTTAAAAAGAAATGTAATACATAAAAATAAAAGAACTAAAGAGGCCCTGTGATGCTTTTTGGGGTTTTCCTGTAGTGTGTTCTATAGGATTTTGTAAATGGCTAAAATCCCTGTGTTCCGTCCAGAGGGAGTTTCTCTCATAGTGACATCACTACAGTATGTAACACTCGCGCTTTTATTGGCCAGCGCTCCAACACATTGTACATGATATATAGGCTAAGGGGCGGGACATCTCTAAGCAGTTGATCAATCACAACAGAGCCGGCCAGCTAACCAATCAGAGCAGACTGGGCTCTGGTTTCAGACAGAGGGTGAAAAGAGGTGCTGCAGCACAGGCAGTATGATAAAAATAAAGAGCTTTTTGAAGATTAAAGCATGGAGACATGTCACAGTAGAGACACTACATACTGATATACACCTGAACATCAGCAGGAGAGGACTCTTTAAAGTAGAGACACTACATACTGATATACACCTGAACATCAGCAGGAGAGGACTCTTTAAAGTAGAGACACTACATACTGATATACACCTGAACATCAGCAGGAGAGGACTCTTTAAAGTAGAGACACTACATACTGATATACACCTGAACATCAGCAGGAGAGGACTCTTTAAAGTAAAGACACTACATACTGATATACACCTGAACATCAGCAGGAGAGGACTCTTTAAATTAGAGACACTACATACTGATATACACCTGAACATCAGCAGGAGAGGACTCTTTAAAGTAGAGACACTACATACTGATATACACCTGAACATCAGCAGGAGAGGACTCTTTAAAGTAGAGACACTACATACTGATATACACCTGAACATCAGCAGGAGAGGACTCTTTAACGTAGAGACACTACATACTGATATACACCTGAACATCAGCAGGAGAGGACTCTTTAAAGTAGAGACACTACATACTGATATACACCTGAACATCAGCAGGAGAGGACTCTTTAAAGTAGAGACACTACATACTGATATACACCTGAACATCAGCAGGAGAGGACTCTTTAAAGTAGAGACACTACATACTGATATACACCTGAACATCAGCAGGAGAGGACTCTTTAAAGTAGAGACACTACATACTGATATACACCTGATCATCAGCAGGAGAGGACTCTTTAAAGTAGAGACACTACATACTGATATACACCTGAACATCAGCAGGAGAGGACTCTTTAAATTAGAGACACTACATACTGATATACACCTGAACATCAGCAGGAGAGGACTCTTTAAAGTAGAGACACTACATACTGATATACACCTGAACATCAAATAGGGCCCCTTTAAAGGAAACCTGGAGCCAGGTGCAACAGCGGTTTGCTACTTAGCCTATACTGTTAGCTAATTGGAGAATATGCATAACAACATTTTAAAAAGTCACACCACACAAACTTTTTCCTCAAATAAAGATTAGTTAATGATGTGATAACATATGTATTTATATACAATAACTGTTTCAGTATGCAATTAAATAATTTATACAGAAACGATATAACGCAGATTTGAAATTGAAGGAAAAAATGTCTTTCACACATGAAATAATTTAGGAGAACATAAAATGACATCCACTGCTCATTATAAAAGTCATGAAAGAGCATCAAAATCTGAACAAATATTGGTTATTGTGTTGTTATTTATCCTATTAGTGTTATCAATAGAAAATGCACAGGTCATCAGTTTATCCATGCTACTTACCTGTTATCTGCAGGCCTGCAGCACCATATGATGAATCAAATAATTATCACTGTTTTCAGGGTAATTGAATAAAGTAAATGTCTCTCCTCTAATAAACAGGGTTTGATGCAGGCGCTGTATATACTGTATGAGGCCTGCTCTTTAATACCCATCAGCACTGCGACTCCTCAGGGATGTCTTGATTTCCCAGGGAACGGGCAGAAAATGGTTTAGATGATTTGCATGAAATCACATTTCTTGATAATGCAATTAATGAAAGTATTAAGTAGGTGGTAACATTTAATCACACTTAGAGTGAGTCATTCATTGTTCTAATTAAAGTGTAGCAAAGTAATGGCTCTGCATTAAGACAACGTGACAAACCTTTGTTTAAGCTCCTTTCCTCCATGCCTGCAGGGAACTCTCATGTCTCCAGTCGGGCTCATGGACTGATAGGTGAGGCCGCACTTTCTCTAATGCATGGCACATAATGACAGATCTGATACAAAGATGACCTGCAGTATGATGGACATTGAGTGTTCCACTTTGATGGATCAATACAAAACAGTCCTCATAAAATCCAGTCTTAAATTCACCCAACAGGAGGGTTTGATCCGTTTACATCTCTTCAATCTATATGCATGTGTTATATTTCTTAAATCTAAACTGCTTTGTAAGGAAATGCATTTTATGTTTATGTGACACTTTATGTCACACATTGTGTTCAGATAATAACTGATACAGCTTAAATATTATTTTTCACTTTAAGGGAATTATAGTCTTGATTTAGACCACATGTATTTTCTTTTCAGGATTTTCATTCATGATGCCACTGTTGTTTTTTTTATGATAGGGCTTTTTTTCCCCACAGTCTTGAGTATTTCAATAACTTGCAACAACTGCATTTTTTGTGTGTGTGCATTACAAGGGAAAAAACATGTATTTTCCTCATCGAGCAGACATGAGACAATGCTTAATCTGGTGTACAAATATTTAATGTGATGGTTTTAATGTTTTGTCCTCAAGGATCTCAGTGTCTGTATTTTGGCTACGCATTTTACGATACATTTATTATAAGGGGAACTTCTACAGTATGATGCAGAAATGTAGATTGACCCCTATTTTTTAGAAACCCCTTCCTTTGAAGGTGTATGGTAAGGTGGGACCATGTGGATCCGGCTAATAATCCTCATTCCTGGAACTCTGGCACCATCTCCTGGCAGAGACATGCATCACTGCTCTGTCAGTGGAGTGGGACCTTTACTGTACTGTATACAGTATGTACAGTATAAAGTATGTACAGTATGAGTGTGACATGTGTTTCAGTGATTTGTGAGCATGTTAAGCAGAACCCTGTTCTTCTTTTCACTATTATCCTTTTAAGAGATCTCCCACTTTGACTTGTGTTCATATTTATGTTGGTGCAACCATCTCAATAAAATAATTTAAGATTGCTTTTTTGGTTTTATTTATTTGCCTGCATTCGTGAGCCGCCTGACAATCCTCACCACCATTCATATTAGCCCCAAATAATTAAATTCATAATCAGATTTCTCAATTACAACTGAAGAAATTATCCAAATATGATGATTTCAAACTATGAAAACATTTTAGTAAACCTGTAACTTACAAATTAGCTCTTATTTCCACTTTGATAGATCAATAATCCCCTGATATTAGCAGTTTTGTCAAAATGAGCATTGTCGTGCCAATCATTTGTTGTTTAGTATATTAAAGGTCTCCTATCATGCAAAATGCACTTTTTGATGTTTTTTATACATAAATATGTGTGTGTCAGGGAACTCACGCAGTGTCAGAAAATAAAACCCTCTCTCTTTTCTTCCGTACCCACATGTCTAAAGACCGGGCTACAACGGAGCTGATCCAGATTTGCTGCCGATATGACGTAATATCAGAAATGTGGGCTGGCTTTACACCCACGGCCCTATCAGAAACGTTGCTATCAGAAACAATGTGCGACGTGTTTTGGACGTAATATGGTCTTTGTTCACATTAGCAAGCATCGCTAACACTCAGAGCTAACCTGTACTGGAGAGAGTATGTGTAAAAAAAGCAGGATATAAAAGGTACTCACCTTGTGGTAAACCCGCAAGAGAAAAAGCATTTGCACTCCATAGACATGTTTTTTAAATATATTTTTATATATCAGACCTATATATGCCTAAAAATAGCATAATAGGAGACATTTAAGTTTGCATCAATATTTGTAGTTCCTACAGTTTCTCCAATAGCAAAGGGTCAGGTGGTAGCAGTATATAGGGACGTTCAGGTGACTCAGGATTATAGAGGACAGTTTTAGAAGCTGTTGGAGGGAACATGTCTGCAGCTCAGACAGCTGAGGAGCTTCAGACAGCAGAACGAGGCTGCAGAGAGACATCCTGAAGCTGCAGAGAGACATCCTGAAGCTGCAGAGAGACACTCTGAGGCTGCAGAGAGACATCCTGAGGCTGCAGAGAGACATCTTGAGGCTGCAGAGAGACACTCTGAGGCTGCAGAGAGACATCCTGAGGCTGCAGAGAGACATCCTGAGGCTGCAGAGAGACATCTTGAGGCTGCAGAGAGACACTCTGAGGCTGCAGAGAGACATCTTGAGGCTGCAGAGAGACATCTTGAGGCTGCAGAGAGACATCTTGAGGCTGCAGAGAGACATCTTGAGGCTGCAGAGAGACACTCTGAGGCTGCAGAGAGACATCCTGAGGCTGCAGAGAGACATCCTGAGGCTGCAGAGAGACATCCTGAGGCTGCAGAGAGACACTCTGAGGCTGCAGAGAGACATCCTGAGGCTGCAGAGAGACATCCTGAGGCTGCAGAGAGACACTCTGAGGCTGCAGAGAGAACACCTGAGGCTGCAGAGAGACATCTGGCTGCAAGAGACATCTGAGGCTGCAGAGAGACACTCTGAGGCTGCAGAGACATCTTGAGGCTGCAGAGACACTCTGAGGCTGCAGAGAGACACTCTGAGGCTGCAGAGAGACACTCCTGGAGGCTGCAGAAGACATCCCTGAGGCTGCAGAGAGACACTCTGAGGCTGCAGAGAGACATCCTGAGGCTGCAGAGAGACATCTTGAGGCTGCAGAGAGACA